CCACAGTAAGAAAAATGAAGGGCATAAAGGGGACAGTTCAACGAAAGGGGAAATTAACATGTAGTGACAATCCCAAATAAACAAAATCAGTACAAGGAAGACAACACGAGTCTAGTAGTACCAAAAAAAGGCAGGTCGACAAAGATATAGGTCATCTAAACTCCGTTTAAGGTGGGAAAGTTACAAGAACATTAGGTAATTTCAGTTAAAGGAAGGTGATGTTAGCTGCTCTTAAGACTAGGCGATTATAGGATGGATGACAATAACTCTCAGTAACGCAGGCAATTATGAAAAGATAGCATGATGATAAGAGAGACGAAGTTCTTCAGTTAAATCAAACATGATGACAATTAGGCAATAAGAGTAAATCATGCAGCAAACAATTCCAACTAAGCATGTAGAGACGAAACTAATAAGCAGGAACTCAGTCATATCAAGAATAACTCCATACATAGTGAATATAAGAACCTAAGAACCCTAAAAGGCCAACTATCCACAATTAAGTCCGGGTACGCACTCGTCACCTCGCGTACACGGATTTCAATCAACATAGAAGACTCAATCCTAAGGGGAAGTCCCCCACACAAGGTTAGGCAAGATACTTACCTCAAAGACGACAACTCGGTACTCAAAAATGGGCTTCTCGGGCGAAAAGACCTCCGGACAGCTCAAATCCAACAATAACAACTCCAAAACACACATAAATCGAATAAGGAACTATTTCGAATAATAAAGTTTCAATCTTTACAAAAATATATAAATTGACCCAAACGTCGACCCCCGGGCCCGCACCTCGGAACCCATCAAATTTTACAAAATCCGATCACCCATTCCAAAATGAGTTCAACCATACAAAATTTATCCAATTTCGATACCATTTGGTCCCTCAAATCATGATTTTTCACTTTGAAATTTTTCTTCAAAAACCAACTTTTTCCCCAACCCAAAACACAAATTAAATGATAAAAATAAAGACAAATTCATGGAATATATTTAATTCTAGTTGAAGAACGCTTATCCAATTGAATTTCGTGAAAACCTTAACAAAAGTCGCCAAGAACCGAGCTCTAGAAGTCAAAATGTGATGAAAATGGTGAAACCCTCGATTTTGGGATATATTCTGTCTACCCAGGTTTTTATGCATCGCGAATGCGAAGAGAGGGCTGCGTTCGCGAAGAAGAAAAGTTAAGTCTGCCCGGTTGCTCACCGCGAACGTGATGATGATCTCGCGAACGCGAAGGAGAAAAATGCAAGGCTTCGCGAATGCGAAGGGAAGGACACGAATGCAAAGAAGGAAAATGTAGGGCTTCGCGAACGCGAAGAGAAGGACGAGAATGCGAAGAAGGATTTAGAGGTGGTCAGCAACAAGGCATTGCGAACGCGAGAGGCTGTTCGTAATCGCGAAGAAGGATATCAGAAGTAGCAAAATAGTAGTTCCAAAAATGGGGAAAAATACCCGTAGCCCACCCGGAATAAACCCGAGGGCCCCGGGACACCGTCTAAACTCACAAACAAGTCACATAACCTAACACGAACTCGCTCGAGGTCTCAAATCACATCAAACAATGCCAAAACGACGAATCACACCATGAATTGAACAATGAACTTCCAAATCTTCCAAATTCGAAAACTTGAGCCGAAACCGATCAAATCAACCCGGAATGATGCCAAATTTTGCAGACAAGTCCAAAATGACATGACAGAGCTGCTCCGACTCTCGAAATCATATTTCGACCCCGATATCACAAAAGTCAAATATGGGTCAAACTTCTCCATTTTTCAAACTTCAACTTTTCCAACTTTCGCCCAAATGCCTCAATTTACCCTACGAACCTCCAAATCTGAATCTGGACGCGCGCCTAAGTCCAAAATCAACATACGAAGCTGTTGGAATTATCAAAATTTCATTCCGGGGCTGTTTACTCAAAAGGTCAATTCCGATCAAATTCTCACCGTTCAAACTCCCAAAACTTCATTCCTTCTTCCAATTCTACTCTGAATCATCCATTAACCAAATTCAACCATGCACACAAGTCGATGCTCATATTACAAAGTTGTTCAAGACCTTACACCACTGAACAGAGATTAAATTCGCAAAATGACCGGCCGGGTTGTTACACCAAGTCACCGGTTTATTTTAAATCCCAAATTAGGGAAATTTTGACTTTCCTTTTGAAGTTTGCGAACCAGAAATTCCAGATAAAGAATTCTGTTAACCCGGGAGAAGGTGTTAGGCATTCCCGGGTTCCATGGTTCTAGCACGGTCGCTTAGCAATTTATACTTGGCTTAATTGTTTAATTACTCATTTTTAAGACCTATGTGAAGTTATCTTTTTACCCCTTTTAAATCACTTGATTATTCATAATTAAAGAATTGAGTTACGCATACGTATACTCTTTTCCTTTGGCGCGTCAAAAATCATGTCACGCGAACGTGTCCACAATTAATAACGCTTTGTTTATTTATTTAAGAAAATTTGATTGAAGTTGCTCGAACGCATCCCTCGAGTCTTTTTTAGAGTTAAAATTATAATTATGTTACGCGAACGTATACATAATCATAATACTAATCTAAATCGGGCCTAAAGCAAACTACAATAGTTCAAGTTAATAACAATGTTTGTGAGGGCCATGAAAAATTTAATAATGGCACACCTCGATTTTAAAAGAGTTATTACTAATTATACGAGGGCCATGGGTTATCTAATTTTGCTTATGGCACACCTCAAGTCTAAAAGGGAATAGGCATTTTTAGAGGCAATCTAAACTAATCAATACGCGCTTAAAGCAATCTACCATTATTCAAACTTAATTAATACTAAATTAATAAATCATATGAGGGCCATGGATGATATGGTGAAAATGGCATGCCTCAAATTAAAAGAATTACTTTAGTCTAAGATTTTACAACCAATTTTACGCAACTACTGAAATTATGCATATGCCTTCATGCGTTTGTACAGGCCTGCTGTAGGTAAAACCCAACAATAGCAATTAGATGTGATGTTGGGCTCGAGAAACAAACCTAACCAACACATGGCATACAATTCCCATATGCAAAAGACCTCAAGCCCAGGCCCGAAGTAAATCCCATTTTTATGATAAATAACCAAAAAAACTAAATAATATGGAAACATTTAAAACTTTAAAAAGACCATTTGAGCTCAAACTGATTATCATCGATGCACAGTAATAATAATGTAAAAATAAGCTTTAAAAAACTACAACACCACTTTACACGTTTAAAATAAATATTATTTTTAAAATTGATTAAGTTAGTGACATGAAGACAAAACTGTATATCATTCTTACTTAATCCAATCCCAAACTACCTTATAAATAATTGTAATGACCTTTAAACTTTAACCAAAACCTCTTTAATACAAGCAATAAGCAAAAATCCTATGAAAATAACATGTCAACTATCTTGAATCTAGAGATCACCAGCCTTCAGCAGAATCAGACGAAAGAACAAAGGCAATCACCTTATATCACATACTCAACATAAGAAAAGCTAATGGAGTACACATAAATTAAGTTATTACAAACGTGAATGAAATGAAGAAGCAGGGAAACAAGAATTCAGTAGCACAAATTGTTTTCATCATGTATCTTCATTCATATTGCATATTACACCTCATATGTTAGCCATGGTTCGAAAAATACGTGGAATGCAAGAGAAAGAAAACAAAGAGAATGAAGAATTAGCAGCAGCAGCAGAATCAACTCAAAACTCAACAAAACCAGCTTCTTTCAACAGTCTAAAACTCAGATGAGAACAAATCTTTGGAGCCCTTTTTTTAGAAATTCTGACTAACAAAGGAACTTTAAGAATCAAAGCAAACAAATTTTGAATGATTTTCAATATTTTCAAGATCTCAAGATGCTCAGCCGTTTCTAATTTTTTCAGTTTTTTAATCTCTAAAATCTGACTTGAAAGTGAAGAAATAGGCCTCTTTATAGAAGCTTTCTAGAGCAGCAGAATTGTTTTCAAGTTTTTATCAATTACCAACAACAAACAACAACAACAACCCAGTGTAATCCCACAAGTGGGGTCTGGGGAGGATAATATGTACGCAGACCTTACCTCTACCCCGAGGGGCAGAGAGGCTGTTTTCAGGAGACCCTCGGCTCAAAGAGGCAACAAGAGACACTATATTAGTACTATCAATAGACTCATAATAAAACAACATAAAATACCGTAAAATCNAAGTGGGGTCTGGGGAGGGTAATATGTACGCAGACCTTACCTCTACCCCGAGGGGCAGAGAGGCTGTTTCCAGGAGACCCTCGGCTCAAAGAGGCAACAAGAGACACTATATTAGTACTATCAATAGACTCATAATAAAACAACATAAAATACCATAAAATCCATAACATAACATAAATACCATAAAAAACAAAGTAACAGCAATATAAGAGATATAGGAAATACGAGAAAGATGTAAGGTATTAATACACAGAAGATAAAGCACATCATCAGTAGTTGATCAATAGCATTCTAAGACTAATTCCTAACTAGATAGCCTCACTCTAGTGCATTGTAAAAAAGACATCACAATTTCCCCTAACCTACAACCTTAATGCTCGATCTCCACAATTCCCTGTTTAGGGCCATGTCCTCAGTAACCCTAAGTCGCGCCATATCCTGCCTGATCACCTCTCCCCTAATACATCGTAGGTCTCCCTCTACCTCTCCTCGTACCCACCACCTCCAGTCGTTCACACCTTCTCACCGGTGCATCAGTGTTCCTCCTCTGAATGTGCCCGAACCATCGGAGTCTTGCTTCCTACATTTTGTCCTCCATGGGGGCCACACCCACCTTCTCTCGAATATCTTCATTTCTAATCTTATCCTTCCTTGTATGCCCGCACATCCACCTCAACATCCTCATCTCTGCAACTTTCATCCTCTGGATGTGTGAGATCTTCACCGGCCAACACTCGGTCCCATACAACATAGCAGGCCTAACCACTGCCCTATAAAATTTACCTTTCAGTAACAGTGGCACTTTCTTGTCACACAGGACTCCCGTCGCTAACCTCCATTTCATCCACCCCACCCCTATACGGTGTGTGACATCCTCGTCGATCTCCCCGGACCCCTGAATAAACGACCCCAGGTACTTGAAAATACCCCTCTTAGGGATGACTTGAGAATCAAGCCTCACTTCCACTCCCGCTTCCGTCGTCTCTACCCCAAATTTGCACTCAAGGTATTTCGTCTTCGTCCTGCTCAACCTGAAACCTTTGGACTCAAGGGTATGTCTCCAAACCTCTAACCTCTCGCTGACACCGCGTCGTGTCTCGTCGATTAGGACTATATCATCAGCAACTAGCATGCACCATGGCACCTCCTCCTGAATATGATGCGTTATAGCATCTATCACCAGGGCAAATAGGAAAGGGCTGAATGCAGACCCTTGGTGCAACCCCGTACTAACCGAAAAATAATCTGAATCGCCTCCTGCTGTCCTAACCCGAGTCTTAGCTCCATCATACATGTCCTTAATCGCCCTAATGTAGGCAACCGGGACCCCTTTAGCCTCTAAGCATCTCCATAAGACCTCCCTAGGAACCCTGTCGTACGCTTTCTCTAGATCGATAAACACCATGTGGAGATCCTTCTTCTTATCCCTGTATTGTTCCACCATCCTCCTAATAAGGTG